CAGTAGATAGTTGTACGTCATAGTTGCACACCCTTCTAGTCGCTGTATGTGGGACGCGGCCTCAGCATGGCCGGAGAAGCGGTGCGTCGGTGTGCGCCCGGGATCCGAACCCGGGCCGCCAGTAGCGGAGCGTGCGCCCTTAACCGCTAAGCCACGGGGCCGGCCCCCAAAATATATTTTAAAAATAATACTTATTTAGTTCGTTCCTCTTTGAAGATGATAGTTTGCTTGAATTAAAAAACAAAGTTCCCCCAGGATTCCTCTGTCAATAGGGCCACTGTTTATATCCCTACTAGTCATACCCCTGTCAGTTTCCATGGTACTCAAAACTTCCAAAGTAGAAAATCTCCTCCTAACTGCCAAAAAGAGAGGAAAACAAACAAACAAAAACCTAGGGTGTTTGTATCCCAATTATGATGACCTGCCATTACCAGTTCTTTGTAAGGAAGCAACAATAATATACTTAGTAAAGTACTCGTCTTTACTACTTCTGGTTCTCATGGAATAGTAGAGAAAAGCTACAGAGCAACAAGTTTATTTAGTTTTTCTAGCAGCACTAAGATTTTTTTCCTTGCAAATATGGTTGGGGAGTATTTATCTGTGCACTTGTGCATTTCCACCAGCATACCACACACTCCTATCTATCTACCTGTACATGTGTATATTTTATATACGTGTCTGTGTGTGTGAGTACATACTCTTGTTTTTTCTCATTGAATGTCTCACCTCCAGGTGTCTCAGGTGAGATAGTAGGGGCTAATAGAAAGTTATCCTATGGTAAACCTTTCTGTTAGCCACTGAAAAAAGTTAGGTGGCTGTCAGAATAATGATTTTGAGTGTTTTCCTCAATAGCCTTAGCCTGATAACTGCTGGGCCGTGTGCTTTTAGTTGTTTTGGCTTTCTTCTGCTTTCTGACAGTGAGAAGTAGGTGTGAACTCTATAGGAAGGCTTGCATCTCTCACAGATAGGGGCCTAAGGCCTTATAAGGATTTTTTAGATTATCAGTTATTACGAATAATATCCCTTTCGCCTTCCCTGTTTTGTCTGTGCTGCAAGTGTAGGGGCAAGATGTATGTTGAGGGAGTCTGGAGTTGATGTTTACAACTTGAATAGAGAAATCAAGGACATTGAAGTTGATAGCAAAGATACTCTGAGAAACTTGAGTCTTGGGTTCCATCTTCAGATTCAGCTTCCCTTCCCACACACTAATTTTAGAGGAATAGATAGAAGTGGTTCATTCTTCATGGGGAATGGGAGGGAAATGGGAAACTATAATTATTTTAAAACTTGAGTCCTAGAAAAGATTGTGCTTTGGGAGCCCTCACTGTACGGCTCCCACCCCCTAAACAATTTTCTTTCTGAAAACATTGCTGAAAGCTCTGTGGTCTGTTCTTTTGTTTTGATTTTTTTACATTGATGGTTTTGTTGCCTTGGTGCCAACTGAAATTTAGAAGTAAATTTGTGTTTCATCTGTCTTATCCCTAGTCCTTGATTGTTTGTTAACACTGAACCATATATAAGATACATTCCTTGACAAACTCTTTTGAGGAAAACATGAATTTTATTTATTTTTTGAAGGGTGAGACCATGTCATTTTCCAGCCATTTGAGTAATCGTTCTATCTTTGTATGCCATACACATAGTTACTACCATACGTGGAGTTTCCTCAAGACATTTTTTAGTTGGTATAAAAACCTTTAAGAACCTGTAGTAAATGCCAGAAAGCCATTTCTAACTATGCTTCTTTTGTTTAAGCTACAAGCTAAACAGATCAATCAGGATATGATGAGCAGCCAAGTTTGTTTTCATTATTTTAAAAAATTTTGTTGGCATAAAAGTTCCTGATTCATTTTTCAGTGAGTTTAAAAGTTTGACAGTAGACTGCTTCTGTTTGACATAAAGTCTTACCGTCTTTTCTTTCATTCTCTGGTGCCCTCATGGCTAGGTGAAAAGCTACGAGTCCTTGGTTACAACCAGAATGGTGAGTGGAGTGAAGTTCGCTCTAAGAATGGCCAAGGTTGGGTGCCAAGCAACTACATCACCCCGGTGAACAGCCTGGAAAAACATTCCTGGTACCATGGACCTGTGTCACGCAGTGCAGCAGAGTATCTACTCAGCAGTCTAATCAATGGCAGTTTCCTGGTGCGAGAAAGTGAGAGCAGCCCCGGGCAGCTGTCAATCTCGCTCAGGTATGAGGGGCGTGTCTATCACTACAGGATCAATACCACCACAGATGGCAAGGTAAGACTGGCCAGCAGCCACCTGTAGGTGTGGGCTGGCTGCTCGTTAGACCCAATACTCAGAATGACTGAAAAATATAGTTTTTATGTCTAACATGAAATCAAATAATCACTGATGTGAGTTTGGGCTATTTGGAAGGTTAGAGCTTGCTCTTTTCAAAAGAATATGGTAATGGAAATTAAAAACAGTATTATATTAATAGTTTAATGATGAGGTAGATTTGAAGGTGAAGAATGAAGGAACTGCTGTATATGTTAGCTGTTCTAATCATCATCAGTATACAAATATACACATATACATGCAATATGTTGTATGGAATTTATAAATTAAACCTTGTATCTTTGAAAATTATAATTATCTCTACCAGAAAGTTCATAGGGTAAGAATTTAGGCTTCTGAGACTGGTGTTGATCTTTAATGTATATTAATATAAATAGATCAACAGTCATTTAGCAATTTACATGTTAGACCAACTATTTTAGAATGGTTGTGTTAGAATGGAACTGTTTTACTTTATAAACTGTAAAGCATAGGCGTCTGTCAGTTATTCTGTTGAACAGTAAGTTTAGATTGAATCATTTTTCCATTCTCTCTCTATGTGGTATGCATAGTAGGGGAAAGCACAGGCTTTGGAGCAAGCAGACCTGGTTTCCTGTGTAACTCCACCATTTATTTATTAACTTTGTGACCTTACATAAGCCTCAGTTTCCCATCCCATTTTATTGGATTGTTGTGAGGATTAAATGAAATAATTTCTGTAAAATGTAATGGCTGGTACAAAGTAGGAAATAAGTAAATTATTAATTCTTTCTCTCTTGCACCACCTTATAGACATATTGTCTCTTGATGAAACCAAATAGAATCAGATAAGTGATAATGTAAGAGAGACCCAGCAGCTCTACTTCTGGTTATATACCCAACAAAGATGAGTGCATATCTGTACAGAAGACATGTACAAGAATGTTCATAGCAGCACTATTTGTTTTTTTTGTTTTATTTTCTGTGAGATCAGCCCTGAGCTAACATCCATGCCAATCCTCCTCTTTTTGCTGAGGAAGACTGGCCCTGGGCTAACATCCGTGCCCATCTTCCTCTACTTTATATGGGACACCACCACAGCATGGCCTGACAAGCAGTGCATCAGTTCGCGCCCAGATCCGAACCCGGGCCACCAGCAGTGGAGCGCGTGCACTTAACCGCTGTGCCACGGGGCTGGCCCCGCAGCACTATTTGTAATAGCCCCAAACTAGAAACACCCAACTGTCTAACAATAGTAGAATGAATTAGTAAATTGTGGTATACTCATAAGGTGGAATCTCATACAACGACAAAAATGAACATAGTACTGCCACACACACTAGCAGGAAAAACTGGCCTGCCAGCCACCTGCTTTTGTAAATAAAATTTTATTGGAATACAGTCATACCCATTTTTTTACACTTTGTCCATGGCTCTTTCTCATTATTATGGCAGATTTGAGTAGTTGAGACAGAGACGCTATGGCCACAAGCCTAAAATACTTGCTGTCTGGCCCTGTACAGAGAAGTTTGCTGATCCCTGTTGTAGGTGAATCTCACACACATAAAGCTAAGGGAAATAGAATGAATAGTGATTGCCAGAAGACGGAGATGAGGGGAGTGGAAATGACTGCTAATGGATATGGAGTTTCTTTGTGGGATGATGAAAATGTTCTGGAGTAGATAGTGGTGATGATTGGACAACCTTGTGAATATACTAAAACCACGGAATTGTACACTTGAAAATAGTGAGTTTTATGGTATGTGAATTATACCACAATAAAAATAGTTGAGTGAAAGAAAGCAGACACAAAACAATACAAATTGTATGATTCCATTTGTATATAGTTCAGAAGCAGGCAGAGCTAATCTAAGGTGTTAGGAGTCAGCAGAGTAGTTACCTTTTCAGGGGTAAAAAGTGGGGAGGGCACGAGGGAGGCGTCTGGGGTGCTGGTAATGTTATAATTCTTGGTGTGGGAGATGTTTACATGGGTGAGTTCACTTTGTAAAAATCATCAATTCTCCATTTATTAATTGTATACTTTTTTGTATACAATAAAAGTTTCTTTTTAAAAAAATAAAACAAGCTCCCTTGGGAGATAAAGCCTGAAGACTGCTATCTTACTTTACGCTTCTTATTGCTTGTCACAAATTAACTATTATTTTGTTAACAACTCTGTGAAATAAAATTGTGGCTTTTTTTAAATGGCCTAGACACTCAAAAGCACAATTAAATAAAAATTATAAGATACTTGAATACTGTCTCTCTACCAAAAAATTGAAATCAGTGGTTTTCAGATTATGTCTGTGCAAGATTCAGAGGTGGTATTTCATAAACTTTCACAGGAGGCCAAGTCCCCTCTTACCTACTTTAATCAGAGCATCTCTTCCTGTATCTGTCTTATATCTTTGGGTTCCACAGTCTTGCTGCTTAAAAGTATTTGAAGACCAATGATCTCGATGACCCAGAGAGAGATCTTGGAAGCTTTTTTCCCAAGACTACAGCTAGTTTAGGACGCATAGGAAGAATGGTTTAAATGAGATTAAACTGAAGTTCTGTTTCCTTTGCCATCATCATTTCATTCTTTCACTTACCGCAATAAGATAACCTCCTATCTTCATATCTTCAGACCAGTGAAATAACGGGCTTTTAAAAAAAATTTCTGACCTCTTTTCCAGTTGGTTTACTTTCTCTCCTGCTTTTCTTACCAGGTCTATGTAACTGCTGAGAGCCGCTTTAGCACCTTGGCGGAGCTTGTTCACCATCACTCCACAGTGGCTGATGGGCTGGTGACCACATTGCACTACCCAGCACCCAAGTGTAATAAGCCTACAGTCTACGGTGTGTCCCCCATCCATGACAAATGGGAAATGGAACGAACAGATATTACCATGAAGCACAAACTTGGGGGTGGTCAGTATGGAGAGGTTTACGTTGGCGTCTGGAAGAAATATAGCCTCACGGTTGCTGTGAAAACATTGAAGGTGGGTTGCTGAGAATTACAGTTTTCAGGCATCTTTTTCATTTGTGCTGAATCACTTGGAAATATCAGTGTGCCCTTCTTTAACTTTGGAACACTTTCCACCCACTGGTGCCGAGCACATCAGCAAATTGTGATGATTAACCCTGTGCCATTGCTGACAGTGCAGGGGCAGATGATTCACTGCAATGCAGTGAAACCCACGTGTGAGGAGGGTTTGTCTCTGGAGCCTGTTGATGTAGATCTTAGTGGGAGGTTAGAAGTAAGTTATAAGTTATAAAAGCAAAACAAGCTATTTTGCTTCCTCAGAACGACCCCTGCTGGACAGAATTCTTCATGCATTGTTCAAGAATCATGGGCTCTCTCTTGTCCTGTCCTTTATCTCCCTGCCTCTTGCTCTCCTCACCTCCATGAGATTAGATCAGTTCTTCTGTTCTTAATATTCACAGAAATCTTGTTCTTGATGCCACTCTCTCTCTTCTTTAAGCATCCTGGTATCAGATCACAGGGTTGTCACTCATTCCATTCTCTGAAGATTCTCCCTTATGCCTCAGTAGCTCTGGCTACTCTTCAGCTATGAGTAGTAGTCAGATCTTTTTAGCAAGCATTTGTTAAGCATATTCTGAGTCAGAAACACTATGCAAGACCTTGCAAGCATGCATGCTCCTTAAGGAATTTGTTAGGAAGACAAACATGTAAACAGCTAACTGTTCTGTTTCCTCTTTCAAAGGCTGAGAAATTTAGGGAAGTAAACTATCAGAGAACTGAGTTATCCATCCAAGTTCTCCCGTTTCAATCGTGATAGGACATGATTGCTGAATTTTGCACACCCTCCTAATTTTTCACTCCAGTTTCAAATATTGGATAAATTCAAGGACGTTTTTCTTTCTTAATCGGACTTCTGCAGAGCCTATTAGGTTCTGATAAAATTTCTTGAAGTAATATGCTAAAATATTCAAAAGATACCCCCTTTTAAAGTTGAAGTTTTAGGATTGTGAGTTGACCCCCTCTCCTCTTTTGCTTTCTTATCTTTCCCCATTTCCAGGAAGATACCATGGAGGTGGAGGAGTTCCTGAAAGAAGCTGCAGTGATGAAGGAAATCAAGCATCCTAATCTGGTGCAACTGTTAGGTGAGGAGGCTTGCCTGAAACGCAGGTTTCCTCAGAGATGCTTGTCCCTCAGCCCCCTGTTACCTCCACATCCTCCTTTTGAATCACCACGGTGGAAGCTCCAAGTGTGAATCTACTCCAATAAATGGTTGTCATTTTAATCAGCAGGCTCTGTGTTTAAAAATTGCCCAAGGGGCTGGCCCCGTGGCTTGGTGGTTAAGTGCGCGCACTCTGCTGCTGGCAGCCCGGGTTCGGATCCCAGGCGCGCACCGATGTACCGCTTCTCCGGCCATGCTGAGGCCGCGTCCCACATACAGCAACTAGAAGGATGTGCAGCTGTGACATACAACTATCTGCTGGGGGCTTGGGGGGGGGGGGGGAAATTGCCCAAGGATCAGTGGCCTGGATTGATTACAATGTATAAAACTGCCCAGCTTGTAGTAATTGCTTCAGATTCAAAGTTCAGAATCATTCAAAATGATACCAGACCAAAAACTGTCACCAAGTATTTTTACAAAATAAAGAGACATTAAACAAAGGACTATTAAAAAGAAGCAGATTAAAAATTGTGACCACACTCATCAGTTTACCTTTACAACACAGTGCTGTGCTGTGATAGATTGGCTTCTCACCTGTTCAGGTCACAAAGAAACCTTTGACTGAACCCTTTGCCCTTTTTAAAATAGGGCTAGTTTCTTTAGGTTTTCAAATTGAACTAAACTATCCCAAAGGAAATAATTTCTTGTTGGTTCTTTAGGAGGAAGCTGCCATGTGTTAGTGAAATCCTTGACTATGGAAACAATTATAATCTTTTTACAAAGCATTATTACAGGCTGGGCTGACATAGTCTTCAGCATATGCACAATTGCTGTTACTGTTCCATAAGCATTGTTAGCATGAAGTTGAGGATGGGAGTCATGGGCATATACAGAATTCTAGAAATTTTGGTCTTCCTGACCCTTTATGGAATTAAGACAAGTAACTCTGCTTTAGCCCAAACAGGCAAATACTCAAATGCATATGAATTTCCAGAGAATGATATAATGGAAGCAGAGACTCCCTTATCAACCAGCTTCTTAACTTTGCTGTGTTATTTTCAGAGAATATGATGTTAAGAAGGGAAAAGATTACTGCTGAACTAGACTTTAAAAATTGTCAGTTATTCTTGCCAGAGTGGTTTGGAGTGTTTGAATATATACTAGTAAAATAAGCTCTATTCTTGAACTATTAGGTGTGTGTACTTTGGAGCCACCATTTTACATTGTGACTGAATACATGCCATATGGAAACTTGCTTGATTATCTCCGAGAATGCAACCGAGAAGAGGTGACTGCAGTTGTACTGCTTTACATGGCCACTCAGATCTCTTCTGCCATGGAGTATTTAGAGAAGAAGAATTTCATCCATAGGTATGTAAAACCTGATTATTGCCTATGATTTACCATGAAGGTACCTTGCTTGACATGTGAATAAAGAGAAGAATGTGACAACCTTCCCAGGAATTTTCAGATGATTCAGGAAAGTAATTTTCTCCTTCGCAGGGCCCATTATAATGTCATTTCCACCTTATAAGCCTGTTGTACTCTGATTAAAGTATTAATGAAGAGCCGTTGCTATTCTCAAAACAGAAAGCTCTTTATTTTGCCCAGAACTATATCCAAGATCCTTTTGCTCCATCTAGTGGCTTAATTTTAAAAATAGCTTTCTATGTTAGCAAAGAACTTAAAGCCTTGTAGAAAAGTGTCTGTTGCTCACCTCTGAAACCTATCCCAATGTACTTATAAATAGGAACCCATGTTCTGAAGCCTGCTTTATTCTGGCATCACATAACTGCCTTGTGGTGAGCATCCTACAAATAATATATACTAGTGGCTTTCTACCATGTTAGTGATTATCATAAAATACTACTATATCTGTCAGCACTTACTTATCAACTCTGCTTGTACCACAAAGAACCGAGAATAGAGCGTTCATGACCATTTTCTTCAGCATCTGAGTGGAATCACATTAGAGTTCTCTTTTCCACAGAGATCTTGCAGCTCGTAACTGCCTGGTGGGAGAAAACCATGTGGTGAAAGTGGCTGACTTTGGCTTAAGTAGATTGATGACTGGGGACACCTATACTGCTCATGCTGGAGCCAAATTTCCTATTAAGTGGACAGCACCAGAGAGTCTTGCCTATAATACCTTCTCAATTAAATCTGATGTCTGGGGTAAGGTTGGAAGGGACTTTTTTCTGTGTGTATCATTTTAATTTCTTTATAAATGCTCTTAATTCTTTCAAGCTTCTCTTTTATATGATCAGCATCCTCTGCTTTTACCCCCATCCTTCTTCAATCATTCAGCAAGCATATTTAAAATACCTACTATCTGCCAACCATTGTGTTCAACACTTAACATAGAAAGAAGTGTAAAGAGGAAAGTAAAAAAAAGAAAGTCAGTGCCTTCAAAGAGCTCACAGTCTAGATCTCATATTGCATTGGAGTTCTAATGATCCTTTCTCTGTAAAGCTTGCTGTTTTCCACAGTAGGTTGTTTTGCTCGTTTCCAGAGCACTGTGACAGAGTAGCATCCTCTTCAAGGAAGGCATGATGAAGTTTCATCTAGAATTTGTCCTTGTAACTGATCTTGTTTCTACTGCCCTGAAAAGCAATGTGATTTAATGGAGGGTTGAACAAGTCTGGAAATTTGGATTGTGGGCCAACAGAAATAGTTGTAGGATTTAAGTCACTTTTTACTGGAAATCTCGACTCAGAAATAACCTGTGACAAAATCAAGAAAATTCTTTTTTCTAGTATGACTTTCATCTGGTTTTAAATGAGCCCATTTTTATATTACTCCTCTAATATTAGCTGACTTAAAAAATGTGAAACTCATTAAATAGGCCATAGATTGTTTTAAGAATAGTTTGATTATGCTCCAGACTTCTTATATGGTCATAGTTTATTCTCCCTCATTGTAGCAAAGGAAATATAAATAAAAATTGGGAAATTTAAAGAAAATCATGTTGAGGTTATACCTGAAGTGTTCCTGTGGCCAATATCTTAGAAGGATAAGTCATGCTGTAAAAATTAGAATAATATACTAATGTTGTTGTAACAGTGTGAATGTTACCCAAAATTTGAAAGAGAAGCTACCTAATAGTATACGGTAAATCAGAGAAGAAACATTAAGCTCTTTTTTTATCCCCTACGCAGCTTTTGGGGTACTGTTGTGGGAAATTGCTACATATGGAATGTCACCGTATCCAGGTATTGACCTATCTCAGGTCTATGATCTGTTGGAAAAAGGATATCGAATGGAACAGCCTGAAGGATGCCCCCCTAAGGTTTATGAACTCATGAGAGCATGTGAGTATTTTTGCTTATTTTAATTTTGAAGGTTTGTCATCAATTCAGGATGATTAACAAAATTGGAAACATTTTGTTTGATGTTGTGCTGTTAGATTGAATCCAACTTGATGACATATTAAGAGTTGGTTATTGGGCCGGCCCCGTGGCTTAGCGGTTAAGTGTGCGCGCTCCGCTACTGGCAGCCCGGGTTCGGACCCCGGGTGCGCACCGACGCACCGCTTCTCCGGCCATGCTGAGGCCGCGTCCCCCATACAGCAACTAGAAGGATGTGCAACTGTGACATACAACTATCTACTGGGGCTTTGGGGAAAAAAAGAAGAAAAAGGAGGAGGATTGGCAATAGATGTTAGCTCAGAGCTGGTCGTCCTCAGCAAAAAGAGGAGGATTAGCATGGATCTTAGCTCAGGGCTGATCTTCCTCACAAAAAAAAAAAAAAGAGTTGGTCATTGATCAGCCAGTTGGTATATCATATTCTATACCATTGAGTCTTACTGGAATCCTAAGAATAGTTATCCATGGCCCAAGTAGTGACTCAGTTTCTCAAAAATATTTGCATATTTAATGGGATAAGAAATTGGGTTTATTGATATGAATTATTAATAAGAATTGTTAATAACTATTAATGAGAATGATTAAGAAGAAAATGGGATAATAAGAGATTAGGTAGGGGAGGGCTGCTTTCAACTGGATAAAAATGATTGCTAAAGACTATGAAGAAATCCATGAAAGTAACCTGTGATGAATAAACAAAAGCATCTGACTTCTTGAAGATAAGAAAGTAGGAAAGTGAGTAGTGAATTAAATTGCAATTGTGTTTGAGCATAAATCTTGTTATTTTCTCATTGAGCATTGGCATTGCCTACTGCCCTATCTTTGTCAAAGGTAAACTCTAAGCTCCTTCTTTCTGATATCCTGTTATATTTCTGAACATGTACAGCTGATTATTTATAAGTTTAGAGTGAGTTTGAAGACAGATTTTACTTCTTTCATTTATCCAGTGGAAGAAAACTTGCCATTTTCTAAACCATCTCCCCACACCCCCTCATTCCTGTAGTAGAAGGAATGGGAGCTGAGGCTACATAGAAGGACCAGCCCCAGGAAGTGGGTTTATTACACCTCTGAGTCTGGAACTGAGAAGCAGCTGCCTCACTGTCATTGTGAACATGCTGTAACTGCTTTAATAAGCACACGTCATGTGCCACTGGATATTTAATTCCTGCAAGGAGCTTTTAATATTTCCTTCTTTTGTTACATAGGCTGGAAATGGAGCCCTGCTGACAGGCCCTCTTTTGCTGAAACACATCAAGCTTTTGAAACCATGTTCCATGACTCCAGCATTTCTGAAGGTGAAAATCTGGTGATTTACTGTTGGTGGCTAGTTCTGAGTGGTGGTGTTGGTAATAACATTTCAAAAATGATAGACTCTTTTATTTGGGACTCCATTTCAGGATATTGAATTAATTCTTGGCCTTTATTATTCTTGTTTTGCTTTTTTTGCTATTTTTAATGTGTCTTTATGTCTCTTTCATATTTTTAATGTTGAAATTATATTTTAAGTAGAAATTAATCCAATCTCTTCATAAAGAGAATAAGTTAAATAGTTCTTTAAGCATCAACACTTGTGATGTAGGGAAGAGAAGAGGAAAAATGAGCATGAAAAATTTTCCAACTCTAAACCACACCTACAAAGGCAGAACCAAGTAATAAAAGCAATATTCAGAAATTCCATTTCTGGAAATAGATCTTAAAGAAATAATTGAGTATGAACAAAGATTTAGCTACAAGGATGTTGCATCAGAGTGTAGTTTATAATATTGAAAAATTAAGAACAATTTAAATATCTAGTGGGCTTTAATTATTATATCCATATAATTGAATATTTAAAATTATATTCTTAAATATATTGACGTGGAAAGGGGTTTAGAATGAGCATGTTAAATTAAGCTATGAGCATTGAGAACCCTTATCTAAAAAACAAGTATGTGGGGCCAGCACAGTGGGACAAGCGGTTAAGTGTGCGCGCTCTGCTGCAGTGGCCCGGGGTTCACCGGTTCGCATCCCAGGTGTGCACCGACGCACTGCTTGCCAAGCCATGCTGTGGCGGCGTCCCATATAAAGTAGAGGAAGATGGGTATGGATGTTAGCCCAGGGCCAGTCTTCCTCAGCAAAAAGAGGAGAATTGGCAGATGTTAGCTCAGGGTCGGTCTTCCTCACACACACACAAAAAAATAATAAAAAAATAAAAAACAAGTATGTGGACATATACAGGCAGTTTCCTACTTTTGTATATAGTGCCTCTAAAATTACCTGCAAAAGTCAAACAATAAACTTATGTGTTATAAAGAGAGAGACTATTCCTAGAGAGCTAAAAACACCGAATTCTTAGTAATACTTGCCTGTTAGACACTTTTGATATAGTTCCAGAATTTTATACATATTTTTCAAATCTTTCCTTTCCTTCGTGATTGAACACACAGCTTACTACTTAAGTTCAAGTTTAAGAATATTAGAAGAGGAAATCAGGCAAGTTGATTTTTCTCTGCTTCCCTTAGTGATTTATCAAGTCTAGGTAAGAAGAAAGAGAAAAGTACAACACTCAAGTTTAATGAGAAGTGTTTCCTTCCTAGTCCTTTGACGTGTGGAACCTCTGCAGGTAGGGGAGGGCATGACTGGCCCTTTGGGCCAGGTGGAGCAGCTGCGTGTCACGGTGTGCTTCTTTCCTCTGTGTGCTTTATTCCCTACGGCATCAGAGTAGGAGAAGCCATAGGCTCCATTTCTTTGGTACTTTTGTGTCAACTTGAACTTCTGTTGAATCCTTAGTTAAATATTTTTGCTTCTCTTGAAAATGTTATATCCTTTTAGAATAGCAACGCTTATCAATTTTCAAAGCTAATTTCAATTCCGAATTGCTAAACAAGAAACTTAACATTATTCAACCCACATTTTATTAAGCATTTGATCTGTTGCAAGCTCTGTACTAGGTCTGAGGACACAGAGGTAAGACACAGTTCCTACTTTAAAAGGATGTATTTTTTTAGTCAGTTATAAGTGAAAGACACCTAACCCAAATTCTTAGGCAATAAGAGGAGGATTTATTGGCTCATAACCAAACCATGGAAAAGCAGGGATGGTGCTAACCTCAGGGTCAGTTGAAGACACAGACTCAAGTAGGTCAGGTCTTCCTCCTTCCCCTTTCCCTCTCCCTCCCTCCCACGCCCACTCCCACCCACTTTCTCTTTACTTTTGCTTCTACATTGATCTCATCTTCAGGATCCTCCAAGCGGCATGGGACATAGTTGCCAGCATCCTTGAGGTCATATCTTTATAGCTCGTGTCTGTCTCTCAGTTGCTGTGTATAGCAGCATAAGAAAGGAATCTCACTGGTGTGACTTGGGTTATGTGTCATGTACCCACTCTTGTGGGGAGTTAATTTCTTTAAATAATTACCAAAAATTATACAATAATTGCAAATTTCACAATTGATCACACTTGCTTCATTTTTGTTCAGGAATGAATAGCAAAGTATATCCTTGCCTCAGTAAAAGCCACAAAAGCCATGGCTAAATTTAGTCAGCCAAGGCTTTCTAATGGTGTGAATACTTTTTCAGGAGCCTCATTTGCTTTATCTGCGTGAAATGGAATGGATTGTATCTACCCTCCTTTTCAGTCCAAGTGCAACCTAAAAATAAAAATATCTGCAGGCATCTGTCTGCTTTGTTCAACCTCTGAACAAGCACTTTGTAGATGAGGCTATCCAAATGACCAATAAGCACATGAAACCATGCTCAACATCACTCATCATCAGAGAAGTACAAAATAAAACAATGAGATCCCTCTACACCTACCCCAGAATGGCTAAAATTAAAATCAAACGAAAAAACCTGATAACATCAAACTTGGGCAAGCATGCAGAGTAACCAGAACTTTTATACAATGCTAGTGGGAGTGTGGATTGGTACAGCCATTTTGGGAGACAGGTAGGACCCAAGAAAGCTGAATTTATGTGTACCCTGTGACCCACCAGTCCTGCTCCTAGGAATATGCTCAGCAGATGTGCATGCAATTGTGAATCAAAAGACATATAGCAGGATGTTCCAACAACATATTCATAATAGCCCAAAACTGGAAACAAGTTAAATATCCATGAAGAGGAGAATGGATGAATTTTGGTATATTCACACATTTGAACAATACATAGCAAGGAGGAAAAACCCCTGCCACATGCAACAACATGGCTGAATCTACTGACATAATGCTGAGCAAAAGAAGCCAGACATAAAAGAGTACGCACTCTGTGATTCCATTTATATATTTTAGTACTCTCTTCTCCAGCTTTTTCTCAGCTGTGTGCCTTTTCTGAAAGGAAAAACTCCTTTTCTCTGTCATGAAACTGTTGTTTTTATCAGTTCCCTTGTCTTCCTCACAGAGGTAGCTGAGGAACTTGGGAGAGCCGCCTCCTCCTCATCTGTTGTTCCATACCTGCCCCGATTACCTATACTTCCTTCTAAGACCCGGACGCTGAAGAAACAGGTGGAGAACAAGGAGAATATCGAAGGGGCACAAGATGCCACTGAAAATTCTGCTTCCAGTTCAGCACCAGGTGGGTCTCGAGCCAGGTGGAATCAGACTGCTGTGTTTAAAGAACTGGGGGGTGTGATGCTTTTATTTCCACTTCCTGCCCGTCATCCCTGAGGAAAGTATGGCTGGGATCTATTTTACCTACTGCTCTAATCCTCGCTCTGCATTGCCAGTGTTAGTAGTCTTGATCTGTCTGTCCAGCATACAACCCTGCCTCCCACTCCATTTCCTCAACTCCTGATTCCCAGACAGTTACCGTCTTCACAGTTCTGGCAAAAACTTCTTCATTGAGCCTCATAGATAAGGCCAAGTTGTACTGCAGTTTTTAGAGAAAAGATGAATGCCGAGGTAAAAACCCGCAGGTTATTTCTTACCATTTATATTCTACATTGCATTTGGAAAACTAATGAGCGTGAAAAGATAATGTATTGATTAGTTTCCTCTGAGTCCTGCTAACACCTGACATTTAAAAGAAGCTGACAGAGCTCTTCCAGTTCAGCCTTAGTAACTCAGTGTAATGGAGTCACTTCTTATCTTTCACATTACTGATTGGCCCTTTCTCATCAGGGTTCATTAGAAGTGCACAGGCCCCCAGTGGGTCCCCAGCACTGCCTCGAAAGCAGAGAGACAAATCACCCAGCAGCCTCTTGGAAGACGCCAAAGAGACATGCTTCACCAGGGATAGGAAGGGAGGCTTCTTCAGCTCCTTCATGAAAAAGAGAAATGCTCCCACACCCCCCAAACGCAGCAGCTCCTTCCGAGAAATGGAGAATCAGCCCCACAAGAAATATGAACTCACGGGTAACTTCTCATCTGTTGCTTCTCTGCAGCATGCTGATGGGTTCTCTTTCACTCCTGCCCAGCAAGAGGCGAATCTGGTGCCACCCAAGTGCTATGGGGGGAGCTTTGCACAGAGGAATCTCTGTAATGACGACGGTGGTGGGGGTGGGGTCAGTGGCACTGCTGGGGGTGGGTGGTCTGGCATCACAGGCTTCTTTACGCCACGCTTAATCAAAAAGACACTGGGCTTACGAGCGGGTAAACCCACAGCCAGTGATGACACTTCCAAGCCTTTTCCAAGGTCAAACTCTACATCTTCCATGTCCTCAGGGCTTCCAGAGCAGGATAGGATGGCAATGACCCTTCCCAGGAACTGCCAGAGGTCCAAACTCCAGCTGGAAAGGACAGTGTCCACCTCTTCTCAGCCAGAAGAGAATGTGGACAGGGCCAATGACATGCTTCCAAAAAAATCAGAGGAAGGTGCTCCAACCAGGGAGAGACCAAAAGCCAAACTTTTGCCCAGAGGAGCCACAGCTCTTCCTCTCAGAACCCCCTCTGGGGATCCAGCCATTACAGAGAAGGACTCTCCAGGGGTGGGGGTGGCTGGAGTGGCAGCTGCTCCAAAGAACAAGGAGAGGAATGGTGGGGCACGACTTGGCATGGCTGGAGTCCCAGAGGATGGCGAGCAGACAGGCTGGTCTTCTCCAGCCAAGGCTGCGGCAGTCCTCCCAACCACTCACAACCACAAAGTGCCAGTCCTTATCTCACCCACTCTGAAGCACACTCCAGCTGATGTGCAGCTCATTGGCACAGACTCTCAGGGGAATAAATTCAAGCTCTTATCTGAGCATCAGGTAACATCCTCTGGAGACAAGGACCGACCCCGACGGGTAAAACCAAAGTGTGCCCCACCCCCACCACCAGTGATGAGACTACTGCAGCATCCGTCCATATGCTCAGACCCCACGGAAGAGCCGACTGCCCCAGCTGCAGGACAGCCCACGTCAGAAACGCAGGAAGGAGGGAAAAAGGCAGCTCCAGGGGCAGTGCCCACCAGTGGCAAAGCTGGGAGGCCTGCGATGCCTCCACCTCAAGTGCCTCAGCCCACATCTTCCATCTCGCCAGCCAAAATGGCCAATGGCACAGCAGGTACTAAAGTGGCTCTGAGAAAAACCAAACAGGCAGCTGAGAAAATCTCAGCAGACAAAATCAGCAAAGAAGCCCTACTAGAATGTGCTGACCTACTGTCCAGTGCAATCACGGAACCTGTGCCCAACAGCCAGCTGGTGGACACTGGACACCAGCTGCTCGACTACTGCTCAGGCTATGTGGACTGCATCCCTCAGACTCGCAACAAATTTGCCTTCCGAGAGGCTGTGAGCAAACTGGAACTCAGCCTGCAGGAGCTGCAGGTGTCTTCAGCAGCTGCCGGTGTGCCCGGGGCAAACCCTGTCCTTAATAACTTATTGTTGTGTGTACAGGAGATCAGTGATGTGGTGCAGAGGTAGCCACTGTTAGCCTAGTGGGAAGATGCACACATTTCTGAGGGGAGGCAGAAAGGGACTTGTTTTCCTGTGTTCTTGTTTTCAAAAAATGAAAGACTGATACTTGAGTGTGTTTATGTGAAGTACCTCAGATCTCTGAGTTCTCACGTTTACAGGTTCATCTCAGAAATAACAAAAAGCAAAATGCATAGGAGAAGGAAATTAGATGGGGGCAGGGCAGTCGTGGACAGGATTAGAAGCTGCACTGGAACATCAGGGAACATGCGTATGTCATGCCGTGAAGAACCCAGTCCAGTCCGTTCTTACCTGGAATGATGTGAGGTGGTGAGGGCTGCTCTCAGCAGGGCTGCAGGGACCGTGCCCGGAGGCTGGAGTGGCTGCGGCACTCATGCTGCACCACAGGAAGGAAGTGACTTGGGCTCCAGTAGGTACTAATGGTGATTATGCTCCAACTCACCTAATGAACGTGGTGGGACAGAAGAAAGGAAAGCTGGGAATGTACCAAGAGAAGTTTTGTTTACGGCTTTGGGAAGCAGCTGTCAGCCTTGCTTCCACAATGTCGCTGCTGCAGTAAGAACTGAGAATCGATTTGCTAGAAAACAAAACTGGGAAACGTGGCCCCATCTGTATGTTCCTGTCCTGTTTTCCATTGGTGCAGGAAGTAAAGAAGGCAAGGAATAACAGTCAGGGAGATGGAAACCTCCTCCTAAAATCTTACATTGGTTGGCAGAAGTCAGTTCTCCTAGTCTAGTATATTATTTCCTGGTGGACCAGGATCAGCCTTCTGCTTGTTGGTCCCTATCTGTAGACCACAGGCATAGGAGTCTCCTTAGTGGTTCTTCTCTGCCCCTTGCTGGGCAGGCTGTCTTCTCTTATTACTGGCAGCATTCAGGGCATTAACCAACATCGATTTTGAAAATAGTGGTCATGTACAGGTTCTCACAGGGGAATCCTTTTCTGATACAGTGCCGCTGCACACTGACATACTGGCCAAGAACTTGAGCAGCTGTCTATTTCTTTATCAACTAAAACACCAGGGAAAGGGTCTCTTCTTGAAACCCAACGGCCAGGCCCAGAGGCTTGTGATTGAGAGAAGCTGACTTGGTCCTGATGGCTGTTTCTCTGTACCTTCCCCCTCCCTCATCACCTTAGACCCAGTATAGGTAGAGAGCAGTGAGAAGCTGTCTCTCACTCGATGGATTTCAAATGAATTACCCTGAATTATTCTCACATGCTTGTCTCCTCTCACTTATCTTCCCCGCATTGTTGTGCTTGTTGGTAAAGATCATATTGGGAATAACCTTTGATATTTATTTTGTCATTTCACCTCTATTTTAAGAATGCATAATTGAAGAAGCAGGTCATTTCCAGAGAACACCAATTAGACCCTGGAAACCTAATGACTTAACCCCCAAATATGTTTTGCCCTTGAAAAAAAGGCCCTTTCCGTCCCTATTCAGTTATAATTATGGAAACTAATTAGGATTGCATGAAACGAATCTGTTTAGATATTATTAATATTCTTGATATCACGTCTAATTCCAATTACCACTTTATTCTCTTTTTAAAGATTTATGACCTGCCCCCCCCAAGAAGAACCCAATTCATAAAAATAAATCCATTATTTTTTCCTCCCAAAGGAATATTAACTTAGGAAGATAGAAATTCAACATTGACGAACAGTGAGTTTTCTTCCTGGCTCTGTCATCGATCCACTGTCAAGCCACAGCCCCATCTCTTAATCTAATAAATGAAGGTAATGATACATTTCTCAAGGGTGTTTTGCAAATAAGTGTATAGCTGTCCCTTTGAGAGCCTCTTTAGAAAGCTCTTTAGTGCAGTGTTGTTATGTTGAATGGTTTTTCATTCTCTTCGCTGCTCAGTAGCAGATAATGAAATTTAGAACTGCTGAGATTACATTAACTGGGCTAGAGTACTAAGCGGGGAAAACTAGGTTTTGGACAGAGTTTGGCATCTTTGACCAAGGAGGAAATTGAGTTTTCGTTGGAAAGAAAGGAAACCTCGATTCTTATCATAGCTGCTCCAGAGGAGGCCCATGCCAAGAGAAGGATACGGAGGGAAGAGACAGTACTGGGCATGCCATTTGGGGGTTGAGTGATCCCTGTCTGTACATTACCTACAGACGCAGCACAGGCAACTAGTGATCTGGTTAACCTCCTTGTGGTGGTTGAAAGAGAAGACAGAGTTCCTTTAACTTGGATTTAAAGACGAACCGTCCTCCTTCCACTTTCTTCTGTGCCACTCCGCTTCATCATACACTTCCATAAACTTGAAATCGTTTTAGCAATTAACCTTTTAAGGGTGGGACAGGGAAAGCTAAAACTTTAGAATATTATTATGCTGCTTTTTAAGTTTATCCCTGTCATTGTGGGATGTAAGTTGAGGGATTATAATTGTCTTTCAGGGGATTTTTTTTTTCCTTATAAAGCAAGGGATCTTTCCTTGAGAGCTCTGAAAATAAGCCTTGGAGGAACACTACTGAGTGTATCTAAGCTCCCTGGTCTTCTCACTGAAGAACAGTCTTGAGGGTGGGGGCTGTGTCTTACTCAGGGGCAGCACCTGGCTCTGTCTTGCCTGCATGAGGTGCTCAGTAAGTTCATGAATTGAATCGATTTTTCTCAACACTGTCGAGAGTAGCATTGACTATTATGGCACACTCCATGATGCTTGAACTGTGTAACTTCTGGAGTTGAGGGCTCACAGTTCAGGTTAAAGAGGCACTGTCAACGTATTATAAAAGTATAATTTAGGTTTTTCCTTTTTCTACTTGAAAAGGACCAGATTTTAAAAATAACTTTATGTAAATTTAAAAGTTTGAATTTAAAGCAGAGAAAACTGCTTCAAGAAACTAAAAATGTAGTCTAATTCAATCTAGTTTAAAAACAAAGCAGAGAGAGCAGGAGCAAAAGCGCTTCTACAAGGCGTTGAAAACTTTCTCAAGTGGTTATATATATGCATACCTTTGGGCTGCCACAGCTTGAATCCTTTCATGTACAGATAATATGATTTCAGTTTAGATTTCCTACCTTAAAATGCAGTGTTTTGTGTAGAATACATCTTGATTGTGCTTTACATGAAGTATTTTCTTAAAAAGCTTTATGTAAAATTAAAATATGTATATTTTCCTACAGACTTCCATTGTGATTTTCAGAAATACAGCCTTAAAAAAAATTGGCCCTAAGAAATTCATTCAGTGTTTTTCAAGATGACCTCTATACATTGAGGTCATTAGTGGAGACCCTTTCCCAGCTGCATTTTGGGGTTTAAATTAGAATTTCCTTAAAATTCAGTTGAAAGTTGGCTAGTAAAATAGTGCCCAGTTAATAAAACATGCTGACTTTGCTAAGGCACAGGCCATATTTATTGAACTAAAGTCACGGAGCTTTTGAGTTTAAAGGATACAGTATAGGTATTGATTTAGAGTTCAGTCTCTAAAGCCAGTCTAGAAGGCAAGTTATTTAACCTTCCTGAGCCTTAGTTTCTTCACTGGAAAACAGGGATAATAGTAGTAACTAACTCAGGGTTGTCGTAAGGATTAAATGAGATAATGTATCTAAGATACTTAGCTTGAGTGCCTGGCACATAATGAGCACTCTGTAAATGTTAACTACTACTATTATTATTAAACTTAGTCCAGTGAGTCTTAGCCAAGGATGTGCAACAAAATCCCTTGGAATTTAAAACAAAACAAAACCATATGCATTGGCCTCACCCCAGCTCAGAATTCTCAATCCCAAGAATCCCTCCAGGTGTTTCAAACACCCAGCACTGTCTGAATACTATCGATACCCCAGCCCTTTTCTTTACAGCTTAAGAAATTGGAAGAGAGGATGGTTAAGTCACTTGCCCATCAGAGCAGTTCATTAGTGGTAGAGCCAAGGCTAGAGTTCGCGTCTCTTGACTTTCCGGTTGTGGAGTCTTTCCACCATTCCTGCTACCTTGTGAGACACTGCAGAAGAAGTGGCTCAGATGGACAATCAGTCTGCACGGTGCTGCACACTTTCTAAAGCACACGTTCCTGGCACGCTCTGACCTTAAGTAAGGGGCTTGAATGTCGAGTAACAGCAACACTAGCAAAATAGGCATTCAATAGAACTCAGTAATTTAAAAAATTATATGGGGTCATTCTTTTGGACAGACCTCAGCAACACGGCAGTCTGCACTTTGTAATAAAGAAATACCAACTTAAGTTTTAAAAAAAACCTAGTCCGACATTCCTTTTTCTTAAAAAAAAAAAAACTATTCCATATCATTTTAATGACTATGAAATAATGTATATATGAAAGCACTTTGAGAAAAGTATCAAATGTAATATAACTATAAAGTTGTGTCATTAATATCTATTTAGAAGATAAAACAGTTGATTAGATGCTGATTGACTTACAGGTTTTTACCTGTGGGGGACCTAAAAATGCAGATATATAAACAATCACCTCTGTAATTTATCACATTTATAAATACGAAACTGCTAAATGAATATGTGCAGGTATAGTAAACGTTTTTGCTAAAATTGTAGCTCAATGCTGAATAACTTCAGAAAACTAGGGACCAACTTCTGGTTTAATTATAATCTTTAAAAAGTACGAATGTTACTCCAGAACAAAGAAGCTCTTCCAGGGACCTTGACTCAAGAAGAATGATGCCCTCATACCTTGAACTTGTCTGCTACATGTTCAGCCATTTAGTATCCTAAATATGGTGGGAGCAGACTCGTTGCCTGTTGATGTTGACAGTGTCTTTTTAAACCTATGTCCTGCGTGGTTTTGTTGTTTTTTGGGGAGTGGAGGGATAGATTGGATGGCCATAGAACCAGTGCACTTTGGGAATTACTTTTCTAGGATTTCCTACCAGTTATAAATGAGCTTGACATTCATCGTCCATGCTTATTTTTTCCTAAGAGTAGTAGCTGAAGGTAACTCACCTATTAGAGTATAAAACACCAAGAGTAAATTGCCTTGGTGGCCACGTTTGAGTTATAGCTGCACTGCCTTCTGACCTCTTGCACTTCCTTCCCTTTTTGCTACTGATGTCACCATTACTATCAGGCTCTGCCCCCCAGGAGTTCACGTGGGCTGACAGGGTTGTC